AAGGAGACAGTGACACGTAGATGTCTGCAAGCTGTGTTCCTGGTGCTGAGAAATGTCAGAGGATAAGAGAAAGTGCATACACACAGGTGGGAACATGAAAACATCCTCTTGGGGGATATGGGCAAAGATAGGCAAGAATTTACACCTATGCAGGAAAATAAGGGGTGGGGTTCACAGACAAACTGAGAAAAAGAGAAAGGAAGGTATTGGAAAGAAGACAGGAAAGACCAGAGGAAGCAGGGCAAAGAGAGGAAAGGAAAAGACAGAAAGAAAAGGAAAGAAGGAGGAAGAAAGAAGACAGGGAGGGAAAGACAAAGAAGGAGAAGGAGGGATAGAGGAAAGAACAGAGCTGTAGAACACAGGCTACTCCTTGTCAAAACACACCAAGGACCTGAGAGTCCCATATGTTCCTGCAGGGGGCGCACTTAGCCAGGCTTTCTAGCTCTAGCGGTTGGGCCAAGGGCATCTTGTGGTCAGGGACCATAGTATACAGGCCCAAGGGCTGGTGGACCAGGACTGGTGTGTTCAGAAAGCAGAGAGTTAATGACCAACTTCTGATCCCAAGCCCTAAGTGTAGTAGAGAAGAGGGCAGGGACTCTGAGAGGCACAGATATCCACAGAGGTGCCATCAGAACACCAGGCTGTGGACAGACCCATCCAGGCAGGCCACAGGGCATGTGGGGAAAGGTGCAGGGGCAGCTATGAGATTCCTTGGCATTCATCATCCTTATTGAAGATCCCTCCTGGTCCCAAGATCCCTGTAAACGAGTGGCCAGGATGCCAAAGGAAAGCAGCATATCTGAAAGATGGAGTGTACAGTCTGAGTAGGGTCTGCAGACAGATTTCTGGAAGCACGGACTATGTCTGACAGTGAAGTTGCTTTCTCCATTTGTCTCTGGTTGGAGGCCAGGGAGAGGTGAAGCACAGGAAGAAGCCACAGGATATACCTTTGTTGTACATATCTCCCTGTGGGGTTTCCACATGCAGCTTGTCACCCACAAGATACTGTGATGCTGCCTAAAAATGTAGGGTTTTGTATATATGCACACACAATTATGAGTGTATGGACATGTAGGTGCATATTAGAAACATGTGTCTAGAAACAGCTCCACATATCAATTTCAAGTGGAGAAAAGAAGGTGCAGTGGAGGATATGGTCCAAGCTCTTTGGTGAGAGAGAATGAAATAAAATAAAGCTCTGAAAATAGCCATGCCTGTATAAATGTAAGAAAATATACAGAAATCCAAATGTGCCTTGGGAGACGGAACCGAGCTTGGAAAGGTCTAGAAATGGAGTCATTTGTTGTAGTGAGCAAGCTCCAACTTTGTAATAAAAATAAGGAAGAAAAATATTGCCAGTCTCCAGCCTCTCAATCATAGGGTTCCAGGTAACTGTGATTTTCATCTTTGCTCTTTTATGATTTTCCAAACTCTTCCCCAGTAATCATCTTTCATTTTTGAAACAGTTATATATTGTTTTTATTACAAATAATCATAGATATTAAAGATAAACTCAGTGGTAGTTAGCATTTAAATTAATTTGTTATTCATCCTGCAAAACATATGTTTCTAGCTGAGTGAAGTTCACCTGAATAAACCCAAGAGCGTACTTGTGTGTGCAATTCAGGAGTTTGTCCTGAAAGACCAGCACCTGTCACTGAGCCATCAGGTCCTAAATTCTAGCAGTGTCGTGGCTGTGGAGCACAGGACTGGGGATGTTCTGTTCTTAGGAGCCACATTAGAGCCCATGCAGAATATCTCTTTCCATTGTATTATGCCCTTGGTGTGGCCTCAGTACTACATAGGATGAGAATAAGGACTTATTCCCTAAACACAGTAAAATTAGACTAAAAATCATTGACAAAACTAAGAAAATTCACAGAAAATAAAAGAAAAATAAGAAAATCCACAGAAACACAGACAGTAAATGACAATCTCCTAAACAACTATTGTGTCAAATAAGGTATACAAAGGGAAGGGAGAAAATGTCTTGAGCCAAATGGGAATGAAATCCCACACAGCAAAGCCTCCAGGTGTAGGAGGGAAGGTCACAACACTAAATGACAGCATTACAGAGGAAGACAGATCTCAAGTACATCTCTATATCTCAAAGAACCAGAAGAAGATGAAACCAGGCCCAAGGCTAGTAGAAAAAAGAAATAGGAACATTAGAGCAGAAATAAATGAAATAGACAAGGTAAGGAAATTGATGGAGACAAATACTATTTTATAAAAAGGGTTAAACTGATACATATTTAGACATATACACATATAAAGACAGAGACATACAGAGAGAGACAGAGACAGACAGACAGTAGGAGACTCAAACAAGTAAAATCATAAGTGGAAGAGGAGACACTCTAATGAGTGGTGTAGAAATAAAAAGGATCATAAGGCTATTGTGAACAATTACATGCCAACAGATTGGACAACCTAGGAGAAATGGATATATTTTATGATTAAATCAAGAGTAAATAAAAAGCATGAACAGACAAACAACAAGCAAGGAGGTTAAATCAGCAACCAAGTCTCCAACAACATAAAGCCCAGGACCAGATGGCTTCATTGTGAATTCCATCAAATATCCAAAGACAATACCAATTCTCTTAAACCCAACAAAACAGAAGGAGATACCCCACCCCCAAGACAGCATCTTTCCGCATAGCCCTGGTTTGCCTGGAACTTGCTGTGTAGACCAACCTATGCTCAATCACTGTCTTCTTGCCTGTCTCCCAAATGACACCCTGATTACGGATCAAATCATTTCCTGAGGCTACCATCACCCTCATAGTACAACAAAGATACTGTAAGAAAAAGATCATGATAAACGTGGATGAAAGTATCACCAACAAAATACTAGCAGCACATCACACTGCACCTAAAAGATTACATACCATTACACATGCAAATTACTCAATATGATACACCACACAAACAGAAGGAAGAATCAAAGCTCTCACATCTGATTGGCATAGAAAAATCACCTTGCAAGAACCCAGCACTTTTTATGATAAAAGCTCCCATAAGTTAGGGCACGGAGGACTTTACCTCCACACAATAAAGGCCACTTGGGAAAAGCTCCATGATATCATAAGGATAAGGTCAATGATAAGACAAGATGCTCCCTCTACTACTTCTATTCACTATAGTACTAGAAATCCTGGACCTTAGATATAAAGATATGGGAGGTCTGCAAACTAGAGAGGAAGAAGTGAAGTCATATAGGCAGGTGATTCAATATTATATGTAAAAAACCCTCAGAGAAAACAATCACTAGGAATGGTAAGAGAGCTCATTATAATCTCAGGATATTAGAGAAACACAGCAAAGTCCACTGCATTCCTGTGCACCAACAGTGAACTAATTCAAGATAAATTAAGAATCTCATTTACAATACCAGCCAAAAGGAAAAAAAAACCTTGAGAATCAACTCAACCAAGAAGTTAATATTATAAAAAGCTAAAGAAATGAAATCATAGATACAGATGGAAAGATATCTCATGCTCCCAAATTGAAAACAAATCAATGTTAAAATGTCTGCAATGCACAAACTGATCTTGTGATTCAATGTAGTAAAAATAATCACAGTGTAAATCCTATTAAAATAGAAAAAAATATAAATTTGTATGGAAAAAGGACCCTGAGTAACAAGGAAGTTACTCAATATTGCTCAAATATGGAATAAAGATGGAGGTATCACATCTCCCAAATCAAATAATAATCAAAACCATACAGTACTGGTCTAAAAGCAAACCCATGGACGATGGATGGACGGGAAGCCTAGACGAAAGCCATAAAGATGCAGTCAAATGACCCTCTACAATGGTGCTCCCAATACCCAAGGAGGGAAAGGCAGTCCCTTTAACAAATGGTGTTGCAAGACTGAATATCCACAGCCAAAGAAAGAAGGTGGACTTAAGCTTAGCTTACACATTCAAATCCTGTCCTAGATACAAAAATGCAAGCCACAAACCGACAAAGGACAAAAACAGATTAAGGTATCAAATATAAGTCCTGAAACTGTGGAGTTTTCCAAATAAGGCATAAGGGAAACTCTTCTTGCCTTAGGCCTTCGAGATGATTCTTGGCTATGATCCCAGACAACCAACAAGAAGGACTTCATCAAACTAAGAAGCTTCCAAATAGGAATGGAAACGTCTGTGGGATAAAAAGGCAACCAGAAGAGTGGGGGACAAGGTTTCCAAACCACACAAATCTGTAAAGCCTATCTAATTTGTTAGCAAAAACCACACATCACAGTCTATTAAAAACAGGCAAAGAACTGAATAGACAGTTCTCAAAGGCAACATAAAAACTCCCACCAGGAATACAGAAAATGTTTGGCACGCTAATCATCCAGGAACTGCAAATCAAAGCCACAAGATGTCACTGCACACCTGTCAGAAGGCTGTCATCCACACACCAAAAGATGGCAACTGATCCCACGAGGAGGAAATAGAAATGTGTTTGGTCACTATGGAAAACACCATAGAGACTCCTCAAGAAGGGAAAACTGAGCAGTCATATGGCACTCAGTTTCAATTTTTTTTTTAAGTAATGGGAGTAACAACATATAAGCCAGGCTAGGTAATTCATGCCTGTAATCTCAATACCAGTGATGCTAAGGCAGGAGGATTGATGAGAGTTCCAGGCCAGCTGGTGCCACACTGAGTTTTAGGCTACCCTTAGCTACCACCTATCTCAAAAATGTGTGGAAAAGGGACACCTGCTGTATAACTGGGTTTATATAGAAAGCACTTACTAATGAGGTAAGTAGTTCTATGTATAAAGCAGAGAATTCAGACATCAACACATATGGGTACAGATGATTGATTTTTCCTAGCTTTACTGAGATACAATCATATGATTTATCTATTGAAATGTTCATTCCAAGGTTGTTAGCATGTTACATTGCTGGGTTTTTTGTTTGTTTGGTGTTTTGTTTTGTTTAGTTTGTGGAAAAGTTAAATAAATTCATTTTAAGTAAACAATTTAGTGGCATTAAAGTGGAATTCTTCACTAGTTGCATGCCATCCTTGCACGGTGGCCGTGGTAAGCTTTTCTGCATCATTCTATTTAGTATATATGCTGGAGAAGCAAGCGTTTACTCTCTGACAATGGCAAAGATGAAACTACAGGGAGAAAAAGCACTCTGGCCCAACAGGTGGGCAACCATTTGCAAGGCTGCACCATTTTAACCCTAGGCTTACATTTCATAGGATATGTAGGACAACTGAGAGACTCTGTTCTGGTGTTTTGAGACCTGGAGGGGTCTGTTTATGCAACATAGGCTGACCTCAAACGCTTGACCTTTTTGCCTCTGTCCACAAAGTGCTATGGTTACAGGCAGAAGTTACTATACTAGGCTACATAATAGGTTTATTTCTTTTTTTAGAAGAAAATATTTGGGCATAGGTCTTTGTGACAAATACATTAAAAACCTCATCAAAATTAAAGCTTTTGCTCTGTTAAAGACTCTGAGGCATAAAAGTATTTATTATATATTTCCAAATAGCTAACAGAGATGATTTTGAATATTCTCCAAAGAATGGCAAATGTGTAAGACAATGCATATGATAATAAGTTTAATTTGTTCACTTTATAAATTGCATATACTTATCAAACTGCATCATTTATCCTACAAATATACCCATTATTATTTGCCTGTTGATTTTTTTTAAAGTAAAGAGAGAAGATATAAGCTGAGACGGATTTGCAAATCACATTATTTGACAAAAGAACTTACTCAAATTTGTAGGGAACTCATAAAATCCAACACTAAAGACCAGCAACAATCAATTAGAGCATGGACAAAGGAGAAGAAACTCCTCCAGGTGATCCATGAAAGAACAGGCTTTGGCACTCACTGCTACCTTTGCAATTGTGGCTTATTCTGTCATCATCCCTTCCTCTGGAAACCACTCAAAACCAATGCTCAGATCTCTCCTCCTGACTTCCTGACCAGCCCCTCTGTAATATTGCCACCTCCTCCTAGGGACTGTGAACAACAACTGTCCACTTCTCCCTTTCCTCCCTTCTTTCTTTTTCAGTATCAGGAGTGAAACTCAGGGTCTCCTCTATGCTCGGCAAGTGCTGAGTCACACCCTCAGCCTTCTTTTTACTTTTTGAAAGAAGAGGTGAATCTTGAATTCATTCTAGTCTAGGTTGCCCTTAAATTTATCATCCAAGGAGCTGTGATACAACTATATTTTCAAAGGTGGTCAGTTTCCTGAACTACTGTACTGACTTCAGATTGTCTATTGATACACATGAGCATGTGTTCATGACTCTGTGTGTGTGTGTGTGTGTGTGTGTGTGTGTGTGTGTATGTGTGTGTGTGTGTGTGTGTTTTGGTTCCTTGACATAGGGTCTTACTCTACTGGAGCAATTTCTTGCTTCAGTCTCCCAAACTCTGTGATTACAAGGGTAATCCACAAAGCCCAAATCAATTCCCTCCCTCTTTCTTCCTCCCTCTTGTTTTTCTTACTTCCTCCCTGCCCATGCTAGGCAAAAGTTTTAACACCCAAATCCTAAGCCAATCTCCACTCCTCACACCATTTTAAAGCAACCTGTCTCTGAGACAATGATTGGATCGCACATACTCACCCTTCCTATACAAAATGCAGCTCCACTCTTAGTCACAGTTCTTTGATTGTTTTATCAAAACCAGAATTAGAAGGGATCCACTAGAATATGAATAAAGAAATTGGACTACCACTTTCAGCTTGCTTCCCCTAGTGTGAGAAGGTCACTGGCCTACTAGATGAAATGAATCCAGCAAGCTGTGTCCCTTTTCCTATACACAATATGATGCCCCCACATCAGAAATTGTCTGAGGGGACAATAAGTTTACACCCATTGTGAGAGATAGTAAGTAATTCTTCCTACTCTAAGAGGGTCCATATCATATGAGAGTGTGAAAATCACAAAGATGAGAGTGCACAGTGATGAACAGCCTTATGTGAAACACTGTGACCCGACTCACTTGGAGAAGAGCAAAACTTGAATTCTGCAACCATACACAGGGGTGTGAGTATTTAAAAAGAGCTTTGGCTTTACTAGAGGGCAGAGGCTGCAGGCTCTCGGTCACTGCTGCAGTGTGGAGACCATGGGAGGGTGACCTCTTGGAAGCTCAGCTTTAGTCTATAGCTTATTTCCTGAGGTGACTTCATGCATTAAGCAAGTGCTGTGCCCCTTGACACTTATTTCCCCCTAGGTTTTAAGTGGCATCACTTGTTCCTAATTTCCTAAGTCTCCTCCTTCCCTCCCTCCTTCCTTACTTCCCTCCCTTCCCTCCCTCCTCCCCCACTCTGGCTTAGTCTTATTTATCACCACTGTCCATGTTTTTGCAAGCTCATTCACTATAAATCACCTTGAAGACACCAGATTCTCTGGAGGAAATAAATTCTACAATGTCAGTTTTGTGATGATATCAGTAATACCTACTTAGTCTTGAAAAATGGAAAAACACAGATCCAAGGCTACGAAAGATTTCACTTCCTCAGCACCTCTTAGAGCATGCTGTCTGCATAGCCTCACTGGGTTTAATTTTGAAAGCTGTCTCCTGTTTGTTCTGGGGTTCAAAGTGCATCATAGGTCTTTAAAAATCGTTTTAGTTTTTAAATATTTTATTTAGTCACAGATTGTGACAGCATATACAAAACCTGTACATGCTTCCCTGTTATCACAGTTTACATAGCTTAAGTGATAATGGTCTCAGGAAGTCCTCTTTGGGAATTTGTAGCAAAATTTGGATTTATAGTAAAATCTAGGTAGTCAGGATAATAATATCTGATATAGAGGGTTTATACTAAAATCTAGACAATCAGGATAAAATGTTTGAAGTGAGGGTCAATGTCATGAAAATTTTCTTGGGACAATGATAAAGAGTTCTTTTAAGGAACGTAAGCAGTGCCATCACTGAAAAAGAGTCTTGTGTGGAAAGATCATGGACAAGCATCCACTGAGTCACAGTGTCATTCCCAAAGCAGACTCAATGGAAAGTGCTGTGGAAATGCCTCACTGATTTATGTTGTAAAAGGTAAAAATTAAAAATCTGGACTGAACTCTAAATGATTGCTTCCAATATGTACTCAAGTTCTGTGAAAACTTAAAGCTGGACCCACAGAATCTTTTTTTTTTATTTAGGTTAGAAACAATCTTGTTTCACATGTCAATCCCAGCTCCCTCTCCCTCCCCTCCTCCTCTACTCTCCCCACCAGGTCCCTCAGTCCCCCACCCAATCTCCACTCTGATCACCAAGGAGGGTGAGGCCCTCCATGGTGGATCTCCAGTAACTGTCATTTCATCCAGGGCAGGGCCTAGGCCCTCCCTGAAGAGTCCCGGCTGAGAGAGCCTCCCATATTGTGGCATGGGCACTCAAAGTCTATTTGTACACTGGGGTAAGTACTACTCAAGGCCCCATAGATTACCTAGGCCTCCTCACTGACACCCACATTCAGGGGGTCTGGGTCAGTTCCATGCTTTCCACACAGCCATCAATCTGGAGTCCAAGAGCTCCCTTGTTCAGGTCAACTGTTTCCCCACAGAATCTTTTATCATCTCGATTTCTAATGACTTCCTTGTCATCTTGGCCCATCTAAGGTGTCTAAAATTGAGGAACAGATTCTAGCTGATTCCCTCCTGGCGAGGCTCCTCATTTTGGGAGGGAGCATTTGGTGTACATGTCTACCCAGGTCAAGCATGAAAATGGGTGTTATGCTGCATGTAGTTTTTAGGAGGAAGATTTGGCAAAAGCAGCCATGCAGAGAGTTTGAGAAAGGTCTTGTATCCACAGCCAATATGGTGAGGTACCTTAATTTTCACCTCAACACACACAAATCCACATCTAATTAATGACATTCCTGACTGTGAAGGGGAAAATAAGGCCTAGGGGCTGGGGAGATGGTTCAGTGGTTCAGTGGGTAAAACTTGATATTCAAGCATAAGGACCCAAGTGTGAATCTCTAGCAACCATGTAAAGAGCTTACATGGGTGTATGTGACAGGTAGTGGTGGCACACACTTTTAATCCCAGCACTCAGGAGACAGAGGCAGAGGGATCTCTTTTAAATTCAAGGCCACTCTGAGCTACATGAAATTGATCCAGTCTAAAAGAGAAACAGAGCTCACACAAAGGTGATTTCAGAACTTGGGATTCATGTCTTTAATTCTAGCACTAGAGAGAATATTAAGAGGGGAGGAGACAGGAGCTCAGTGTAAGCAACATGTTCTCAAACAGCACAAAATTTTCATTAACATAACAAAGCAGAAATACTAAAAATTTCCTTTCATTTGAAAATATCATAAAGAACATGAAAATACAAGTTTCATAGAAAAAAAGTTGATTGCAACCCACAGTGTGAAGAAAAGGCTACTATGCAGAATACACATAGAAAACACAGAAAAGGTATTTGAACTGCTTAAAAAGATGCCTGAGTGGCCAAGAACCAAAGAAAAGTGGCTGAACTGTCATTAGTCACCAACAAAAGTAGGAGACCTGGTCAAACTTGAGATGATACTTCTGTGAGGTTAAAAACCTGTGGCTCATGACACCCACACCCCACTTACTCCTAAGCTTATGATATGCCCAAACTCAGGGTGAGACCCAAGCAATGCTAGTTAATCTGTGTGAAATCAGACAATTGTCACTTGAGACCTCACCTGACCTCAGGCCTAGTTCACACACCCTGAAGATACTTGTTCCTGTGGGCAGAGGCTCTACAAAATCCCACCTCTGTCACTTGACATCTTGTTGCTTATGTGTCCTGTTGATCCATTTTCTGCAGCTGGGTGACATCTGGCATCTGATATTGGTTCTTGAAGTTGCACAAAATCCCTCCTTTGGTACACATGCATGATGGCTTCTAAGGTCAGAAGTTAAGCTCTACTACCCTGCAAAGACCCCTCATGCTATCAGAAGCCATTCCACAACTAGCTAAGCAGAGATCACCTCAACTACCCAGCCAAGGGAATCAGCACTGAGTATCCCCACAACTAAACTTCAGGAAACACCTAGTTCCTTTCACTCAAGCTGATAGGTCACCAAGAACTGATCCAACTGATCACTCAACACAATGTGCCAGAAAGTGTTAACCAATCAA